GTGTAACAATAAAATAAATCAAGTTTTTTAATTCAACGATTGATCAATCACATTATACGTAAATACAGCTTTTATGGAGCAATACAGTATAATCAATTAATCAATTAAGTTGCCATTGATCAATTGATGAATTAAAACGCTTATAAATATAGATAATATGTAAATAAAAATGCAGTAATTGATAATCACTATATTAAAATAAAACACAATGTATATGAAGAATGACCAAATATTTAATTACATTGATAATAAATGCTGCACATAAATAATAATCCCTAGCTTAATTTTCATATTTATAGAAAGAGAATAATCTGTACATATATAAAATTAAAAATATATTTTTTCTTAAACACAAAAGAAATTCACCGTAAAAAATGGATTTATATCGTTATTAGATTTATTATAGCTTCAGCAAGATATGGTGCAATATTTATAAAAAAAAATTTGCTTTAAAAAAAATTGTTGAATTAAGATTTTATTTTAATTCGCCGCTAGAGTCTCTCGTTTCTTTTAGAATTTTCAACTTAGTAATTAATTCATCCACTGCCATTTCACCATGAACTATGTTGTCTCTCGTTCTTATATTCACTGTACCAGCATTACGTTCCTTCTCTCCCACAACTGTAATAAAAGGTTACTAGCTATTATGCTAAGATAACAAAAACATCACAAATCAACATAGTAGATTTTATGTATTATAATTTTATTTATCAAGAGCTTATAGTACATACCAAGTATAAAGTTAAACTGTGCAAGCTGAGCATTACGAATCTTCTTGTTCAAAGTGTCACTCGGATCGATGTCGATTTCGACCATAACACCAGCGTCCCAGAGTTTTTGTTTCACTTCAAAGGCGTAATCATCGAATTGCGACGCTACCGGCACAACCATCGCTTGTCGCGGAGAGATCCAATACGGCCATTTACCGCCATACGATTCGGTTAGGATCGCAATCATGCGCTCTACAGAGCCCAGAATTGCTCTGTGTATGATAACCGGTCTAGTTTTTTCTCCAGCTTCACTGTAAATATATAACAAGAAAATGTGTGAATGATTCATATTCGAAATTTTTTAAATTAAAATTAAAATTTACAATGGATATTTATAATGGATACCCACTTAACGTAAGATAAATTGAATCTAATTGGCAACTGGAAATCTAATTGTATTGTGGCAGTCTGATGCGGCCTTTTAAGCGCATCCAGGATGGTAATGTCGATTTTAGGTCCATAGAATGCGCCATCCTCAGGATTAAGACTCCACGGTTGACCAAATGCGTTCAAACTCTCCTCTAATGCTTTCTCGGCCTCGTTCCAGTCATTTATATCGCCCAAGAATTTCTCAGGTCGCGTAGAGAGACATAAATTGAACGTAAAACCAAGAATGGAATAGACATGCCACAGAAAGTCGAGAGCGCCACTTATCTCGTCTTTAATATGCTCTATAGAACAGAATATGTGCGCATCATCCTGCTGAAACCGTCTCACTCTAGTAAGACCCGTTAATGCACCCGACAGTTCGTTGCGATGCAACACACCGAAATCTGCAAATCTGAGCGGTAGTTCGCGCCAGGATCTAGATCGAACGTCGAAGATCATACAATGACCTGGACAATTCATAGGCTTGAGTGCGAAAGTTTCCTTCTCTACGTCGAAAGAAAACATATTTTCCGCGTAATGCTGCCAATGTCCCGAAGTCTGCCATAATTTGCTATTGAAAATGTTTGGAGTGACCACTTCTTGAAATCCTCTCTTTCTATACTCGGAGCGAATAAAATCAACCAGGGTGTTATATATGTATGCGCCACGTGGTTGAAAGAAACAAGATCCAGGCGAAAGTTCGTGGAAGAAATATAGCTCCTGCTCCTTTCCGATCTTTCGATGATCTCGTTTGGCCGCCTCTTCCTGAAATTTTTCCCATTCCTTCAATTGTTTAGTATCCGGAAAACTTATTCCATACAATCTCTGCAGTGACTCCGCGTTAGCATTCCCCTCCCAATATGTGGACGAGTTCTTTGTGATCTTCATAGCCTTAATCTTTCCCGTATGTCTAACGTGCGGTCCCCTACATAAGTCGATCAGCGGACCGCATCTATAAGCCGTAGTAGTAGGCGTTTGTACCCTCTCTTTTATAATACGTACTTTGAATTCATTGTACTTGAACATTTCTAAGAGATCTTCCTTGGTTATTTCTAGCCGTTCAAATGGTTGTTTCTCTTTAACTATATTCTTGTATAGACCCTCCAAATATGGGAAGTCTGTGTTGGAAATTCCTTTTTCACCCAAGAACATATCGTAATAGAAGCCATTTTCAATAGGAGGACCGTAACAGAGACAGCCGCCGTAAACTCTTTCCATAGCTTCTCCAAGAACATGAGCGCTGGAATGCCAAAACACTTGCTGACCTTCTGGATCATCAAATTTCAACAACTGCAGTTTACAATCAAATTCTAGAGGTCTGTCAAGATCCCATAATTCGTTGTTAACTTTTGCAATTACAGTATTATCTGCCAATCCTTGGCTAATATTTTTTGCAACGTCATAAGGAGTCGTACGCCAGGACTGCGCGGATACATTCTTCCCATCCGGAAGAGTTACAGTTATATTTACAGGAGTCTTTGTTGCTATTGTCTCCTCATATTCCTTTTTCAATTTGTTCCATAATATAATACGGTCCTATACAGACAAAAATGCATCTTAAAATAAAGATCTAATAATTATATCTTAAATTCAAGAACCATCGATAAATACTATTGTTTATTAATTTTGATGTATTTCCAGATTCGCATTATTTTGAAACCGATTTGTCAATACACACATAGTTAGTCCTGTTTTTTTTTTAAATTATAGTTTTCAAAGATTCTTGTGAATAATTATTATAAATAATTATCGTATAAATACAATGTATGCTAAAAGTATTTATAACAAGTAGATTTATATAAGACATACTACATTTATTCTTTCTAGAGAAATCAACAAATCTGAAGATGTGTTAAAATTAATGAGTAATAGTATAATTATATAGAAAAGATCAGTTTTTAATATATTTATATTAATATTTCCTAAATTATTTAATTTACTTATTTATATGTATAGAAAAATACGGCAATTTAAAATTTAAAAGTAATTATACATTATATAGAAAGCTCTTAAAGGTATTTAAATTTCTGTATAATAAAGGTGTAATTTAATTTAATGAAGTTTACCTGAATATAGGAGGGCCAAGGATTAAGCTCCATTACAGATTTCTCCACTGGAGCATGTTTCTTCTTCAATGCCTTCATTGATTTCGCCTGAAAATAAAGTATCCAAAATAAAAAGTCGTTCGAATTTGAATGACAAGTTAAATGACGTGCGGATTGTCGCGTGTCAGATACGTTAGGCGACACTTGGCGTGAAACAATGCTCATAGGTTACGTCAGACTATCGATCCTGACGTCAATGGTTGGTTACATGTTACAAACAAAAGACATATTGTAACATAATTGTTAAAAACGGAGTAACAACAAATTCAAGAGCTATAGTATAACAATTGCACGAAAAGGAATCAAACAGACAAGAAAAAACATCTTAACCAACCCGAACATGTGTCCACTTAGTACCACCATAAACAGTCCTACAAATGTAAAAACGTAAACTTGTCTGCATAGTTTAACGATATTCAAACAAACGAGAGGTTGTATGTAAAGTTGAGAGATTCATGCCTTATCCTCCGTCAAGGACAGATTTTGTACGTCGGCTACCACGTTGTCGCCCATGTTAGGAGTATCACGCGATCAGATCGAGAGCCGCCGGTTCAAAAGAGAATCTTACAGTGATTCGCACGAGCGACCCGCAACGAAACGCGATCGAATTATTGCCTGCGTTCAGCAGAACATTTATTTTGTAACTGTTGAAAGTTTTCTTTACGCTAATTGGATTATACTTTTAAATTTAAAAGAGAGAGAATCTTAGCAATCATAATTAGAGTATATCCATCCAACTTGTACAGCCGCAAAAACTGATGCATAAAAAAAAAGATTCAATCGCATTTTTCTTGTAAAGACGCACGTAAAATGTGATTGGATATTTTTTTTATGCAAATGTTTATGCGGCTATGCAAGTTGTGTAAATATAATACTATAAAACGGTTGTAAAACTGTTCCAATCAACTTGCCAATCAACTTGCTGCTTCTCTGTAAAAATTACATGTTGATTGGCTACATATATTTCTGGATTCAAGAACTCGAATCAAGTTCTAACACCATGGACACAGGGCTTAATGATCAGACCTCGAGATCGTACTTCACAAACGTATTCTATCTGTGTATATCACCGACTATCTAAAAAAAATTGTATATATACTTTATAAGTACACGTGTTTACCACACTCATATCAAAACTTTTAATCGATTAATTTTATTGATGTACAAACATTTACTTTAATTTCCACCAATAAAGATAACTTAAATCTCAGTTTAACTTACTGTTTATCTTTTTCTAATTTGTATAACTAGAAAAAGACAAAAGAGTAAATTGAACTGAGATTAAAGTTAATCTGCATTGGTGGAAATGAGCATTAACATTTTTTAATAAGTATAAAAGTAAAATGCAAATTACATGTAAAATTCATTTAAAAAAAAAACATCGATCCTGCCAGGATTCGAACCTGGAATCTTCTGATCCGTAGTCAGACGCGTTATCCGTTGCGCCACAGGACCCTTGTAGTTACAACCCTTAAAAATTATATTTTACTACATTATATTCTAAATTTTACATTTCTATACTTATTTATTCTTATATTTTATAATACATGCATAATTTTTAAAACTTTATAAATAACAAAAATTCCATATAAGAAACAAAAGGTCACAAAGACAAATTTTATATACTTGTATATATTCTATATTTTATAAATGGTCTTTTAATTAAAAACAATAAAAAATAAACTTACATATAAAACATTAGAACAGTATTACAAATAAGTTGGTTTACTACATAAATGTATGTAACAGTCAATTCTTATTGATACTCTTGGAAATTGAATTTAAATGGAGTTTCAATTCTATTACTATATATATTACAAATAGCCCGCTCTGTATTTTGCAATGTATTTTGTGTTCTATGATCATCTGTTTGTTTATTAGAATTCTGTATTCTAAATCCAGTAGCTTTCTTAATAAATATTGATTTCTTTTCTGCCGAGGTAGAACCAGTGAACTTGACAGTTGATACAGTTTTGCTAAACTTTCGCTCGTCCTCAGCCATTTTCTCTCTGTAGTCTCCAAATGTATTCCTCATAATTTGTCTCTTTTTTACCAATGGCGCAGTGTTACTTTTCAACGAATGTAATTGTTTGCTCAATTCCTGCACCTGTTTCTCCTGCAGTTTGCCAACAGCTAGGCTCGCCTCCATTTGTTGTATGCACCAGTATAACTCCAATTCAAAACGATCCTCCGCTTCTGGATCCAAATTACTTGCATTACTAGCGTCTTTTTTAGGAGGAAGACATGGTTCTGATACGCTCTTTTTGTTTTTGTTACGTTTGGAATTCTGAAATAAACGTAAAATAAATGTTCATAGATCTATTCTTTTCAGCTAAATTTTTTGTACGGTTAATTTTCCTCTCCATGTTGAAAAGAAAAAGAAAAAACATATTATAAGTAACGTAAACAATTTAATTAAAAAGAACATGCTTCTTCATATGTAAGATTACTCTCAATCCCGATAATAAATATATTGTTTTTCAAAACAAGGGAATGAGGATTCTTATGAATTACCAGCGCAGATTTTGGCGGCATTTCACAATGAGATTTATTTCAGCTAACGGCTTACGTAATTACAAAAAAATCACAATATGTAAATCTCTAGTTGTATATATGATTAAAATCTAAAACTAAAATATGTCTGTGTGTCCATGAATATATTATTTGGTAATGCATAAATGTAAGGTTATGTTTGCACTTTTGAACGTGTTATGGCGATGGTGTCACCATCTCTAGTACGTAAGAAGAAATAAAATATTAAATCGCGAAGATGATCGATAAATCGATCGTCAGGCGAGTTTGAAATTTCAAATAAGAATAAAATGTCGTAACGTAAAGCAAGCATGAATTTTTAATTCAACAGTCTCGCATAAGATTTGCGTATTTCCTTTAAATTATCACGTTTAGCATCTATGGGTACATTCCGTTTCACGCATAATGCGCATGATGCATCTTTTATCCTTGTTCGCCGAATGTTAAACAAGAATGATAATGCATTATGTACATACATCATGCGTGAAACGGAAAATGCATCTTATAGCTACAAAAAAATTTGCGCCTATTCTATCTTCGTTCCCAAACAAGAATCGCAAGGATAAGTTGTTATATCTTCGGGTTTCTCTGCGCAATAAATTTCAATAACGCTCGTGCCGTTGACCGTGCTGGACTGGAAAAAAAATGCAATTACAAGAGAGAAAATAAACTCGTATGTCGGTACATGCTGGTCAGTCTTTACAATTAAGGACGGACATACGAAAAGTGCGAAAGTAATTGTGCGAAAACGCAACATCAGAAAGCGACGGAAGTTGAAAAGATTGAATTGTGTATGGCATGCGGTATAAAGGCGCGGATAGTTTGCGGAGAAATTAAAAGTACACAGGGCGGCCTCATGAAACGAATCGTCTGCAGGAATTTGTCTCGTATAAATTTCTAATCTTCAAAATTACGTATTAAAGATTGAAAGTTAAGATCAAGCTTGAAGATATAAAATAATCAGTTTAACGTATTTTTAAATTAATTTGAAAATATGAATCAATATAATATTAAAATTTCAATTAACTTGTTAACGCGTTATTTTTCATAATTTAATTTCGGTATGCGTAACAAAAATCAATAAACAAAAATATAAAAATAAAAAAGGAGAAAATCTTACAAACTTTGTGATTGGAAAAATTACATATTTCTATGTAATCGTACAAATAAATATACTACAAACGTATAAAAGCAAATTAATAAGCGTGACTTTCTTTTTTTTTTCGATTTAGCTTTTAGCGATGTTTTTCTGCAAGGCCTTTCACAAAGGGAGAGACGTTTGTGCGTTTCAGTAAAAGTAGAAGAGCGGTAGAAATGTATAATGTACAAGATAGATACACAGTATATAGACGACAGGGTGACATTAATTCTTCAGAATATATTTACAAGAGCAGTACAAAGAATAACTCGATATTACACATATATATTCGTTACGTAGACTAACGAGTAATAGGTATAAGCAGGTGAACAGTTTAAATATTAATTGAGGCACGTGATAATAAGGCATTTCTACAGAGGATAGACACACGGTCGTACGCACGTAAGATAGAGCGTTTTTTTCTATTAAAAAAAAAAAAAAGAAGAAGAAAGATAAATAATAAACATGAAAGAGAGAATTGATTATTCCGAGCTTCGTGACGTATTTAAATTATATTTTCCCCCCGCTTATCTGATTTATAGAGAAATATAAAATTTGGAAGATGATGAACAATCCGCGATATATTTTGAATACTAAAGTTTTTTACAACTTCATGACGTTAAAAAAGTTTTTATGAAAACAGCTGTTACGCAAGAAATAGATATATACCTCATTTAAATGTTTGTCTCTCGACAATCTATATTAATATTGGATTGACGAATTGGTACTTGTGTAAATTATAATGCTAACAGTAATATAAAAGAAACGATACGGACAACACGGCATAGTTAAAAATATCAGACAAAATATGTTTTATCTATCTGTAATACATTCCAAAAATGATTTGATCTTTGAGACAGTTTCCGGTTTTGTTTTGTATTATGCTCGGAACATTTAAACAGAATTTGCAGACTACGTCAAATTATTTGCAATATACGTAAACTTAGAATTAAGTATTTCCTTTTTACAAATAAAAATATACTTTCACGGATAAACTCTTCTCTCAAATACAGTATACATGTATTTAAGTACTCATACGTTATTAAGATAACGAGATATGTCTAGTCACAGTTCGTTTTCATGAAATTATTTCGGATTTGCCTTTGAGAGAATCAATTGTGTCTATCTTACGTGTTTACAATCGTTGCAAATTACATTAGTGGACGTCACAATGAAGATTGATATTCAGTGCAAACCAATTGTGCTACACTGAATAACATACCGATTTTTATCTTAAGGTGTATGTATGTGTGTGTTTGTATATGTGTGTATTTTTGTGTGTACACAGACGCGTGGTCGAAATCCCTAAAGTTTAGAACACATAGCTAATTGTCCATTTGACCGTCCAAAGAAGAGAGGATGAGTCAAAGATTAGAGGACACATTATATACAATGCGAAAATCATTGGCCATCACAGATTGGTAATGACATTTCTGTTAAACATTAAAAACAAAAGAGAATATTCTGTAGGTCTTAATTTGTCCGCTCGTCACCTGATCTCCGACGTATTTATAACAAGTATATAAAATATCATCACATTACGCGGTCCAGATTTAAGTACAGAATCGTTCTCTCTGTGATATATATGTATGAAATAGAATTTCATATATAAATCGATATCATTTCATATATAGAAGACAATATAGATTACATACTTAAGGTAAAAAGGAAAAAAAGCATTGATTCGACGGCAGTTATTTATAGATTGTAAATTCGGAAAAAAACAACGCCAATACATTAATTATCCTTTTCGTCACTGTGAACGCACGTTTTTACAGAATTCTAGGATCAATGTCTTGAAATGGGGGTTTATATCTTTCGTATTTCAAAGTGTATTTAGCGCAACATGTAACCACATACATACGACATCGAATCGCTCGCAAAAAAATTGGTCTTTTGCAATCACGTACAAAGTGATACTCCTTAAGATATAATTATCTATGAGAAGAAATACGCATTAAACATTTCAAAATTCTTTCTTATCATCGCGCCTTCTCTGAGATACAGATCCACTTTAATCGAATTGATATAGAGACGTTGCATTACAAAAATATCGCATTTGACAAAGATTTACACAAGAAAAATTGTATATTAAAAATACATTACATCTTTGAGAGAAAACTGTGTAAACAAATAAAAATTACACGCGTATAATATACACAATTATCGCGATGAAATAATATGATACTAAATGTTAAAAAAAAAAGAGATGAGTAATCAGAAAATTTATTTTTTAATGGCAAGATATATGTACTATATTAATAGTTTTTCTTTAAATAAATTAAAATATCAGTGTATCAAGATTTCAGATACGACATATATACCATTAATCACCGTCATGTAATATTGACTATTGATGTTATATAATTATTTCTTATATATTTTTTCTACATAAATGTGTTAAATATTTCGATTACTATTCATAGAAATAGTTGTCTGTCTATAGTTTTTAAGCATAATAAAGTTATTTTAATAAGCAACTTGACATGTGTATCGTGAAAGATTTTAGAAAACGTAAAGAGACTGATACAATGTAGATTGGATTCTCACATATTAACAATATTACACAATTACTTAGAAAAACATAGTTTAAATGAGCATCATTTGAACAAGCAACAAAATACATTTCTATGACAATAAACTTACCAAAACAATAAGTAATATTTTACAGATCAAATTAAAACAGATCATATGAATTCGGATGACACAAATTATCGCAAAATATTACACAGCAAAAGCATGCGAGCAATGATGAATGCACAAAACAATTTCAGATTTTGTGATTTAAATAGCACAAATAATGTTAATAATACCGAATGGGAGAACACACTACATGTACAAGTCACAATAAATTGAAAAAGATACAACAGGTGTGGATGGAATATAATACCAAAATAAAATACTGCCAAATGTAAAAACCAAGTAAAATGTATTCTATGGGCAACATCGTAATAATCATATATCATTATGCTGATACACTGAAATATAACCACAATGTGTATGTGTTTACAATGTTGTATGTATGTGTGTGATGTACACAGAGCGTTATCAAATAATCATTATTTATCACTAACTCTGACAATGATTATACTGACCAATAATAGGCAATATGGTAGCACGGTCATATACAGATCAGTAATAATAACGTATAACAATAACTGGGTAATGTCGAGCACCAAAGGTATAACGTACAAACAAAGGAGTTTTGTAATTCCGTGTCCGCAGCGTATTTATGTCGTCTCCATGAGCGCACAAATCGTATGTGTTTATGTACTCAAGTACTATATTGCGTGTGGCATTGAATGTGCATAAGAGGATAAAATATGTCTTTAAGATTTAGCACATAAAATTTCTCAATGGCTTCGTACTTATGTAACAAACTTGGCAAACATTATAATTATTATTACAAACATAAACCGAGTCTTTGTCTTCAACATTGTAAGTATTTTTTTTTTTCTCTTTCTTCCTCAAATATACTCTCCTATGATACTACTTAAAACATAAAATCGGTATTCCCTTAATTAGTCAGTTATGATGGCACTATATGAATTACTTTCCTTTATTCTCGCAATTATCAGCTAACGTAACGCACGACTATAATATTGTATGTTATTATTACTATTACACATTATTATAATAACTTTTATACATATATATCCACATATGCATACATCCGGTTGTGTATGCATGATGCAAATCTTTTATGTATGTGTACGTGTGAGTGTGTGTGCGTGTCTGTATACATACTGTTCTATTTAAAATTTATACATTGTACAATGTAACTGTACTCCAAAATTAACTGTAACAGTACGATACGCAATTTGAGGAATTGTTGAACAACCTCCCTTTTAAACTGTATTATACAAATACGTGTATAACTACATAATAATGTTTAAAGTATGTCCCCCGTCACACTTCATCTGTTTACAGAGTGCATTTCAAAACTAAGCGGAAACTCA